AGACGCTCAATCATCTAACAGGACACGCTAACAGAGCAAAAGAACAAATGCAAATGAACACGTATTATGATTAATGGAGATGATGACTGCTTTATCTGTTAAATTCTACATGTTGCTTTTAAAGTAGGATGGGAAGTGCACATGCTTGGTTACAGCTAAACTGTAATAGGCTTAGGAGTGAGTGAATAGACAAATAATTTTGCACTGACTATTTTGGCACAGTAGTGGAAAATACAAAAGGTTGCTGCATTAATTCCACATACCTGTTTTCAATTCTTTTTTTAAAGCTAAGATCAGTCTAGCACTTAATGTGCAATGACCATTCACCTTGCACCACAGCAAAGAGTTATCTTGGAATTCAGCACGAACAACTCTAATAGCAACTGTATCACAGCCCAGGACAAGAGCACACTAAGAGCAGGAACAAAAGGGTAAAGTTTATATTGCAAGTCTCTCAGTTTTATGAGCATCTAGGTCTACCAGCAACATGAAAAATAATGCAAGATAATCATACAGAAGATGGGACAGTAATCCGACAGATTAGTAAACTTGAAAAAAGCAGATGCTGAAGCCATGGGCAGCTTTATTACAAACAGCATCTATCTTCCCAGTCATGACATTTTCCACTATCATCCTAAAAACTCATTGTATCACCCTTCTCTCTTTGTAAGCTGCACAGGGATTTTTCACGCTGATTTGAAGCTAAATAAATGGCTACGCTGCATTTCTTTCACATTCTATTCTGAAAATAGCACTTGCAGAGAACAGGGACCATAAGGGAATCCAGCTAAATAGCCACCCAACTGCCTATTCCATTTTCCAAGGGTGGTTAGGCTACACTTAGCCCCTTTCCATGTGTAGTCCCTGGAAGCATCTGGTTTAGGTTTGTATTTTGATATCTTCATACCAAAGTTTGTTTAAATAAAGCAACTATGATCTTTTGGCTAATAAGTGCTAAGAAAAATCTTTGCTCTGAGACAACCATATTCTGTTACCAACAGAGGAATGCCTCTGAACTGTCTGTGAAGGGTGTTTTTGTCAATAGGACATTGGCCTGTGTAATATAAAAAAAATAAATATTTACCCTTAGCTTTATCATCTCCACTCACCCTGAAACTCCCTGTCAAAATCACTGTTTCTGTAAAGCTGGGAAATGAATAATTCTTTATCCAACTCTATAGCACTCAGTTCCAAACACAAATGACTGTCTATAGAACCACTCACTGTTACAAAACTTAAGGATTACGCAAAAGCTTGCATCTACAATATTTTTAAGTAATTGATACTGCTATTGCTTTCAGAAAAGAAAGGTATTTTCTGCTAGTGCTAAGAAACAGAAGAGGCAGAGTACTTTGAGAGTCCTTGGAAACTGGACATCCACGTTGGCAGAAGCAGTGGGAGGGAAGGGCAAGAATTCTTGCCCATACACAACCACATGTCCCATAAGATCTGGGAAAAAAAACAAACATGATTTCAAGCTCACTCCAACACCCTGCTCATATTACTTTTTTTTTTGCAAGTCAAATATCTATTTGGAGGTTGTGGTTCAGAAATCTAACCTAACATTATATTACAGGGAAGGGCTCTTCATAAAACTGTCCAAATGGCTACCACATCTTCCATACCAACAGATATATCTACTCAGTTAGTAACAATCTGATACTTAAACATATTGCACAACAAGAATACCTGAAAAAAATAAGAGGTGGAACCAAAAGAAAAATAAATTTAGACAGTTCTTAACATGTCAAGACTGTGATAGCATCTGAGGGAAGCTGAAGTTTAAAGAAGAGTTCTTAACCTGGATCTGCAGCAGATCCAGTAAGATGCAGAAGCATTACAGGCTGGTTCAGGCCACTGGCCTACATGAAGCCTAGAAAATCAGTAGTAGTCAGTCTGTGCGGAGAGAATCTTAATTCATTGTAATTAGGCATAAAGAACACCTGCTTTTTATTGCATTTGCCAGATGCTATTTTCCGTGCCTAAAACTGGCAAGGACCATCTGATGGGGGGGTAGCAACATCAGAAAGGGAGAAAGTGGATTTCTGATATGCAGTTTCTGTTCCAAGTTCTTAAGGGCCTACTTGTTAACCTAGGGAGACTCCTGAACCACAAAATGAAAAATCATAACCAATTTCTTATCTCTTGTTTACAAGCACACCACCTGCAAAGCATGAAAGAAATAACACAGATTATTTACTTCGAGAAAATGTTTCACAACCTTCAACTGCAATTCCTCAAGTCAAGCACAAAGTGACAACATAGACCCTGCAGAAAGAAAGTACTAATAAAGTCTCTTGGTCTAAACGTATTGAGAGTAACATAGGAGTTTACTGAAGAAAGGTGAGAGGGAAGGAGTACTTCTAAAGAGTCCTCAGTAAACTGCTTCTATCCTCAAGTTTTGTTTCATACAAAGAGATGTGTCAAACATACGTTACTAACATTTGTTATCATCAGAAAAGGCTAGCTTGAGGCAGAAAAGCTGGACAGGAAAGACACTCAAGACTTAAGGTTTCTCCCTCCCTGCTGCTAACCCCCATCCAGTCCTTCTTCCCCCTCTTCAGCTAAGCTCTTTCCCAGTTTTTGTCCGCACAGTACCAGCTCATGTCCACACACGTCTGTGCTAGTTAATGTATAAAATTGTCTTACCAGCAGCAGCACAGTGAGCAGATGATGAATTCCATTCCAACAAAATTAACAGCAGGGGATTTCCAACAAGATGGCAATAGAGTAAAACACAGTTTGGATACTCAAAGAAACATGGGAAGCCCAAGCTAACTGATTACTGAAACGGCCTGAAATACTGGTAGCACTTTTCCAGAATTCAGCAAGATGCAACTCCTGGCAGGCAGAGTGAAAAACAGAAAAAGGTTCTCTTCTAGAGAAAGGGTATACATAGCTCATTCTTGAAAAGACAGCTGCACAAAAGAAAGGAAAATGCTTTCTGCCTTTCTTTTATCTATCAGAATAGCTGTTATCTGAAGTTTCCTCCTCTTCTTTTAGGGTGAAACTGTTTAAAAAAAAAACAACTCCTCCCAATAAATGAAGATTTAGCAAGCATTTTGATAATGCTTTTCTCTATCTATTTCTGCCTACCTTTCAAGTCAGTTTGGAAGCAAAGAAAGAGTAATTCCAAAAGAATAAATAAATAATGAGAACTATTTTTTCCAATCCTTCTTTTCCTCTTTTACATTAATTCCAGTGATTCAGACATATTAAAGAGTCCAAAATATCTGTTGAGCGTGTTGTTTTTTCCCCACTTTCTTGACAAGCATTGAAATGATCGTTTTATACCTGTTTTAAGATATTTCATTAACTCCATTAATCTTTCTGCTTATTAGTCAAGAGGACAGAATTCCCAGCTGCAGAGCCTTAAAGCTCCACCTTGTGGAAGATGCCTATAATACACAGAGAGGCTCCAGAGGGAAAAGGACTTCAAACGGAGCTTACAATTAATAACATGTTTGACATTTACACTTTGTCATCAGTCATACAGTAAGATAGCCTCTTAAATGCATTCCACCCCGGTAGAAAAACAAGCAGTGGGGGATTACCAATAAAATGAAAAACTGGTTTTATTTTGTGGCAATATAATAGTCATCCTGCATTGAACCAGCAGATAGCACCCACAGCAGTCCAGAGCAGATCTTGCTTTCACCATGTTTGCTGGCTCCCATGTGCTAGACTTATTCTATTCGTTAGCTGGAAAACAGGGAATCACAGACAGATTTATCTGGCCAAGGGGCAGACAACCAAAGAACATAGCAACCCTGCCATTAAGAATAGATAAATGACTAACAGAACTTCATCATGTAATACTAGATTGACCATAATTTTACATGGGTATTCTGAAAGCTATTCACAATCCTCCACAGCTATCTATTACAAACTCAACTTAATGTCTGCATTCAACCATTCTTAAAAGCTTGTATTGAGAACAGCGTAGCACAACCGTATGCTGCCTATGACTATGCATCTAGTGGACTTTAAAAGAAACTTGAGCCAGTACTGCCCCCTACTGAAAGAAGAGCCTGCACGTGAAAATTGTGGCAACTTTTCTACCATTCTATTCTTCTGCTTCATTTATGTACCTTGTTTTTCCTTCTTCTCTGTAAGCCTTTACAATATTCAGGGTTCTGATTTATCATGTATTTTTCCTGCTTCTTCCCCATGAGGACTACAAAGGCATCAGATAGGTTTCTAAGTTTACATACTATAATACCATGCCAGCACATATAGACTCCAGAAATCAAAGAGTTGCTGCACTAAAGCACTGCAGACACAGCTCACGTTTTTAGCAACGTAAGAGCAGATAAACAAATAAAAAAAGAAAGTGAGGCGTTAAAAAATAACCCCAGAAAAATTATTTTAAAGTTTTCCTGAGATCTGCAGTACACCAGTCATACGACAGTGTCGTGAGATGTTCTTGTGTAGTAAACCCAAGATACTTAAAGAACATATATCCATATTGATTCAATACTTTGAATTAATAAATATGCCATAATTAGTAATTTATTACTAACAGTAATCACATTACTTTCTCTGATAGAAACCTTGCAATGTTTCTATTTTCAATCAGTCGCTCCACTTTGGTATTTAGACAACCTGAAACTCTGAATAACTTAAGGATTGAAATACTGTACAAAATCTGAAAGTGGCGTGCTTTTAGCAACATAAATATAGTTTGGCTGAACAATACGTTGGCTTGGAACATTAAGGAGCACAAAGTTTGAACTGTTGAATGCAGTGTCTCTGAACCTGTAGAAAAGATGTAAGCATGCCACTCAAAATAGAGGAAAGTACATCACTTCAGAAGCATGTCAGTTTTCTGATGCCCAGGAGCTGGGAGAGCCCGTATCTCAGCCCCGAATCCCCAGCTGGCAGCAGCCACCAGAAGATTTTCAAAGTCGCTGTGAGGACATTGCATGCACTGCAGCAAGTTTCCAGAGCCAGAGGCTGACTCCATTCCCTCAAGATGATCCAAAACACCCCAACCTCACCACAGTGCGCTGACCTCCACAGGAGTGCTGGCATCAACCAGCTGCAGAGGGAGCCCGCTGCCCACACACATTGCAGGGCTGGCCATCAGGTCCCCTTCCCCGAAAAGGCAGTAACGGTCATGTCACACGCAGTAATCCAGAGTCCAGTCTCGGTTTCACTTTTCAGCAATGATCGTATCAGAAAAAAATAAAGAGCGATTACTCAACCGGCAAGGAGAAGAGGGCCTGATCCGCTGCTGCATGATACCCTTTGAATCTATTTCTTAGAGTGCATGTTAAACTCTACACATTAGAATAAGTGCTTGTTTTAAATAACACAATATTTTATTCTTCCTGTTCTCTAAGATATACTAGCTCCAACTGTGAATGACACTCAATGACACTCACTTCACACAATGCTTCTGTGGGAAGGACAGACTTTCTCTTTTAAAGAAAATAATTTAACACATCCTAGGTTGTTAAAGGTAGATCCTGATTGCCGCTTTTAATTAAAAAAAAAGGCAGCCTTTTACTGAAAAAAAAAATTGTTCGCAGCCTCTGAAATCCTCTATACTTTTCACTGTTGGTGGCTGTTACCCAAAAAAGAGCCCAGATACAGTAGAACAAAACAACATCAAATTTATTAATAGATTTTAAAACCAACAGAAGAGATTAAATATACCCCAGTATATAACCTGAACCAATTTACCTCACGTTTCCACACTGTGGTCTTTAAGATTAAACTATCAAGTCTTTATATATAAAAAAAAAATCTCAAACAGTCTTTATTTCAAAACATAGAAGTGTATCTTAATGTTTATAGTTCATGGAACGGGACCAAAATCACTGATAACAAAAACACCATGTATGGACGGGAGGCTAAAAGCCCATTTCTGTATTAACAATTATGAAGACCTTAAAAAAATGGCATGCCAAAGCAAAAGTATCTGTCATGTGAAAATCCCTTGTTTAAATTAAGCTTTGATAATTCCTCTTCACGAAATCAAAGCTTCAGTCTAAAATGACATCTAATACATAAAAGTTTCAAAGCCACTGTTCTCACTCAGACCCCCATATGAACCTGTCAAAAAGGCTACTTATCTTGAACTATCATTTTTTACTGAATAATCTCCTTTTGCCCTCTACCTTGCTTCAGCTATGCTTGTGTGCAAGTATCAGATGTGGTGGTTCGGATTAGTTTACTTGCAGCACTTATCACTGCATTCAAGAATAGACAGACCACATTTCACTTATGGAAAGGTACACCTCATTACCACAGAATTGAAGGAACACACTGAAGCTGAGAAAAGAAGCACCTTTTCCAAAAAAAAAAAATTTTTTTTTTTTGAGGAAAGGCTATATACAGCACTTTAAAAAACAGATGCAGCCCAATTGTTCCTGCAATAGTAGAAGCAACAATACACCTAGCCTAGTCCAAGTCAGTCTTGTTGAGATAAAACTGCATCATGTTTCTAGCAATTTCTTCCTTAGAAATCAAAAGCGTCGCAGCTAAATTATCTCTCTGAAAGCCCCGAGTGCTGCCACATGCTTTGTCACTATAGCAGTATCTTTCTGCTTGGCAGCCTCACCATGCTTTATCACTCTCTTACTTCAGCTGCCATATGCTTAG